GGGGGGGGGGGGCATAAGTAGCAAGATAGATGATGGCATTCCGATCACCGGGTAGCAAGCTGACCAGAAAAGTAAGAAGGTAAATACACAGATCATTTACTACATGTGGTGCATAAAACAAAAGAAGGAAATCAGAGACATCAGCAAATACAGCTCTGCAGGTTAACATACAGAGTAGATTGCCTTTTATCAGTACAGGTAGCAGCATGCTAACTGAAAAGGTACAAGACATGGAAGATCAAGAGCTCCCTTGTGTTTTTTATGTATTTTTGGTGTTAAGAAGTTATTTTTGGAACTAGGGAACAAAGGCGGGGAGAAGAAGTTATTCCGAATCGCTAAGGTGAGAGAGAGGACGGCTCGGGATCTGGACCAAGTGAGGTGCATAAGAGATGATGACGGCAAAGTTTTGATGGGGGATGACCAGATTAAGAGGAGATGGCAGAACTACTTTCATAAACTTCTAAATGAAGAAGGGGATCAAGATATTGTACTAGGTGAATTGAGGAATGCCGACAGTCCCCATGAATTAAGTTATTGTAGGGACATTGAGGTCGATGAGGTCATGGAGGCAATGCATAAGATGAGAAGGGGCAGAGCGACCGGGCCAGACGAAATTCCGGTTGAACTTTGAAGGTGTTTGGGTAGAGCAGGCTTGGAATGGCTTACTGGGTTGTTTAATGTTATATTCAAAACTAATAGGATGCCTGAAGAGTGGAGGTGGAGTACAATGGTTCCGTTGTATAAAAACAAAGGCGATATCCAAAGCTGTAGTTGCTACAGGGGTATCAAATTACTGAGTCATACCATGAAAGTCTGGGAGAGAGTGGAAGAAATGAGAGTGCGAAAGATGGTGTCTATTTCAGACAACCAGTTTGGGTTCATGCCGGGGCGATCTACCACAGAAGCTATCCACCTTATGAGGAGGATGGTGGAACAATACAGGGATAAGAAGAAGGATCTCCACATGGTGNGTGGTGTTTATTGATCTAGAGAAAGCGTACGACAGGGTTCCTAGGGAGGTCTTATGTAGCTGCTTAGAGGTTAAAGGGGTCTCGGCAGCCTACATTAGGGTGATTAAAGACATGTATGATGGAGCTAAGACTCAGGTTAGGACAGTAGGA